GACATCGAATTGAAGCCGTGATCAGCTTCAGCGGCTGCAACACGCCGGTGGCCCTCGGTGGCCCAGTCCCTTGGTGGGCTGCCCGCCTTCTCGATCAAGATTTGGGGCAAAGAACTCCTTCCACTCTCAAACCCTAGACGCAAAATCGAGAGGTACACGGCTGCAGACTACAAGCACCACATGCGACATATCAACAAACATGCAAGCAAATACTCACAGAACATGCAGCGCCGAACGTCGCGGTTTGTAGCAAGGCGCGGCTCAGGTGGCGAAGCCACTCACCTGATCAGTTGCTCCAACGTAGTATGGACTGTGCCATGGAGAAAGTGTGATGTAGACGCATGGCTGTTGATGGTGACCTGGATCCTGAATGAAGTCATAGAGGTCCGGGAAGCGTGTCCGTAGTGATCGAAGGTGTCTTGTATCCGCAAAAGTGGAGTGCATGATTTCACACAACAGAGACGTCTTGTAGAAGTGAAGAACCTCGAAGAACGGCGGGACATACCCATAGTCTTGAGAAACGAGACGCTGCAAAAAACTGCTCAATAAATAGGCAGTGCACCGGCACCTATGAAGTTCATACCTGTTGGCCACAGTGTGGTAAGACTGCGACATGGAGTGAATCGGGATCTGAAGTGCGATCCAAACCACAACTAGCACTTCCAGGATAAGGCCCAGCCGGTGGCCCAGTCCCTTGGTGGGCTGCCCGCCTTCTTGATCAAGATTTGGGGCATAGAACTCCTTCCACTCTCAAACCCTAGACGCAAAATCGAGAGGTACACGGCTGCAGACTACAAGCGCCACATGCGACATGTCAACACACATGCAAGCAAAGGCGCGGCTCAGGTGTCGAAGCCACTCACCTGATCAGTTGCTCCAACGTAGTATGGACTATGCCATGGAGAAAGTCTGATGTAGACGCATGGCTGTTGATGGTGACCTGGATCCTGAATGAAGTCATAGAGGTCCGGGAAGCGTGTCCGTAGTGATCGAAGGTGTCTTGTATCCGCAAAAGTGGAGTGCATGATTTCACACAACAGAGACGTCTTGTAGAAGTGAAGAACCTCGAAGAACGGCGGGACATACCCATAGTCTTGAGAAACGAGACGCTGCAAAAAACTGCTCAATAAATAGGCAGTGCACCGGCACCTATGAAGTTCATACCTGTTGGCCACAGTGTGGTAAGACTGCGACATGGAGTGAATCGGGATCTGAAGTGCGATCCGAACCACAACTAGCACTTCCAGGATAAGGCCCAGCCGGTGGCCCAGTCCCTTGGTGGGCTGCCCGCCTTCTTGATCAAGATTTGGGGCATAGAACTCCTTCCACTCTCAAACCCTAGACGCAAAATCGAGAGGTACACGGCTGCAGACTACAAGCGCCACATGCGACATGTCAACACACATGCAAGCAAAGGCGCGGCTCAGGTGTCGAAGCCACTCACCTGATCAGTTGCTCCAACGTAGTATGGACTGTGCCATGGAGAAAGTCTGATGTAGACGCATGGCTCTTGATGGTGACCTGGATCCTGAATGAAGTCATAGAGGTCCGGGAAGCGTGTCCGTAGTGATTGAAGGTGTCTTGTATCCGCAAAAGTGGAGTGCATGATTTCACACAACAGAGACGTCTTGCAGAAGTGAAGAACCTCAAAGAACGGCCCATAGTCTTGAGAAACGAGACGCTGCAAAAAACTGCTCAATAAATAGGCAGTGCACCGGCACCTATGAAGTTCATACCTGTTGGCCACAGTGTGGTAAGACTGCGACATGGAGTGAATCGGGATCTGAAGTGCGATCCGAACCACAACTAGCACTTCCACGATAAGGCCCAGCCGGTGGCCCAGTCCCTTGGTGGGCTGCCCGCCTTCTTGATCAAGATTTGGGGCATAGAACTCCTTCCACTCTCAAACCCTAGACGCAAAATCGAGAGGTACACGGCTGCAGACTACAAGCACCACATGCGACAAATCAACAAACATGCAAGCAAACACTCACAGAACATGCAGCGCCGAACGTCGCGGTTTGTAGCAAGGCGCGGCTCAGGTGTCGAAGCCACTCACTTGATCAGTTGCTCCAACGTAGTAAGGACTGTGCCATGGAGAAAGTCTGATATAGACGCATGGCTGTTGATGGTGACCTGGATCCTGAATGAAGTCATAGAGGTCCGGGAAGCGTGTCCGTAGTGATCGAAGGTGTCTTGTATCCGCAAAAGTGGAGTGCATGATTTCACACAACAGAGACGTCTTGTAGAAGTGAAGAACCTCGAAGAACGGCGGGACATACCCATAGTCTTGAGAAACGAGACGCTGCAAAAAACTGCTCAATACATAGGCAGTGCACCGGCACCTATGAAGTTCATACCTCTTGGCCACAGTGTGGTAAGACTGCGACATGGAGTGAATCGGGATCTGAAGTGCGATCCGAACCACAACTAGCACTTCCACGATAAGGCCCAGCCGGTGGCCCAGTCCCTTGGTGGGCTGCCCGCCTTCTTGATCAAGATTTGGGGCATAGAACTCCTTCCACTCTCAAACCCTAGACGCAAAATCGAGAGGTACACGGCTGCAGACTACAAGCACCACATGCGGCATATCAACAATCATGCAAGCAAAGACTCACAGAACATGCAGCGCTGAACGTCGCGGTTTGTAGCAAGGCGCGGCTCAGGTGTCGAAGCCACTCACCTGATCAGTTGCTCCAACGTAGTATGGACTGTGCCATGGAGAAAGTCTGATGTAGACGCATGGCTGTTGATGGTGACCTGGATCCTGAATAAGTCATAGAGGTCCGGGAAGCGTGTCCGTAGTGATCGAAGGTGTCCTGCATCCGCAAAAGTGGAGTGCATGATTTCACACAACAGAGACGTCTTGTAGAAGTGAAGAACCTCGAAGAACGGCGGGACATACCCATAGTCTTGTGAAACGAGACGCTGCAAAAAACTGATCAATAAATAGGCAGTGCACCGGCACCTATGAAGTTCATACCTGTTGGCCACAGTGTGGTAAGACTGCGACATGGAGTGAATCGGGATCTGAAGCGCGATCCGAACCACAACTAGCACTTCCAGGATAAGGCCCAGCCGGTGGCCCAGTCCCTTGGTGGGCTGCCCGCCTTCTTGATCAAGATTTGGGGCATAGAACTCCTTCCACCCTCACACCCTAGACGCAAAATCGAGAGGTACACGGCTGCAGACTACAAGCACCACATGCGACATATCAACAAACATGCAAGCAAACACTCACAGAACATGCAGCGCCGAACGTCGCTGTTTGTAGCAAGGCGCGGCTCAGGTGTCGAAGCCACTCACCTGATCAGTTGCTTCAACGTAGTATGGACTGTGCCATGGAGAAAGTCTGATGTAGACGCGTGGCTGTTGATGGTGACCTGGATCCTGAATGAAGTCATAGAGGTCCGGGAAGCGTCCCCGTAGTGATCGAAGGTGTCTTGTATCCGCAAAAGTGGAGTGCATGATTTCACACAACAGAGACGTCTTGTAGAAGTGAAGAACCTCGAGGAACGGCGGGACATACCCATAGTCTTGAGAAACGAGACGCTGTAAAAACTGATCAATAAATAGGCAGTGCACCGGCACCTATGAAGTTCATACCTGCTGGCCACAGTGTGGTAAGACTGCGACATGGAGTGAACCGGAATCTGAAGTGCGATCCGAACCACAACTAGCACTTCCAGGATAAGGTCCAGCCGGTGGGCCAGTCCCTTGGTGGGCTGCCCGCCTTCTTGATCAAGATTTGGGGCATAGAACATCTTCCACTCTCAAACCCTAGACGCAAAATCGAGAGGTACACGGCTGCAAACTACAAGCACCACATGCGACAAATCAACAAACATGCAAGCAAACACTCATAGAACATGCAGCGCCGAACGTCGCGGTTTGTAGCAAGGCGCGGCATCACGGGCGGCATGAACTTCGCTGGCGGGGGCTCTGGAGGAACCGGTATCATGTAGTTGACCGGTGAGTGATGGAACTGCTGCGTAGGGTTTGGAATCGATTGAGAATTGCCTGGCATCACCGGAAAATTGCTGCTGGAGTTGTAGCCCGAATTGTGTTGCCAGGATACCAAGTTGTTCCAATCCATGCCCTCCGAGACCTGATTGTCATTGTGTTCTCGTCGGCGTGCTTTGCAAGATTGAGGGGAAGGACTCCGATCCCGTCTGCGCCGTGTTCTGGATCTGTCACGATCATCCCGTCGAGACATGATGGCACAACAAACTCAAAACCGCGACACCTCAATCTTGAGAGAATCGAATCCGACAAGATGCAAGTCAACGCAAGTTCAAGCCAAGCACAGATCAACACGCGGTCATGCAGCCAACAGCAGCAATTGTGAGACTTAGCTATGATCTGACGGCTGTCTTCCCTTTAGTGAAACCTCGTTCCTGGTTAAATCAGAAATTCCGCTGTTCTATGGGAAGCACGTTGAGGTCAAATTTTCCGACAGAGTCGGCCCGGGGTCACACAATGGGTACACCCGAGGATTCCCCACGAATGGGGTGTACACACTTAAACTCCAGATGGAGGGTGCTAATCTTTCGAGTACAACTGATGAGTCTCGAGTACAACTGATGAGTCTCGAGTACAACTGATAAGTCTCTCATCGTTCGAGTACAACTGGTGAGTCTCGAGTACAGCTGGGGTTCAGCTGGTTTTGGAGAAAAGGGCAAAAAGGGGACCTTTGTTTGGGGTGGGCCCGCCAGCTGCCATGACAATGGCCCAGGCGCAGCCCCGCAGGTACGTTTGGACCCGGACACCGGGGGGTGTCTTCGTTGGCTGGAGACCCCCCGGGCCGGCTCCAGCCCCCTGCTACTAATTGTGGTGACAGGGTATTCTGCCACTCCGCACACACACACACACGCGCGCGCGCATACTCTGTCCACGCACGCGCACACACACACACACACAAACACACACCAAAAAGACGCACAATGCGAAAACAACAGAACACAATGCGCTAAGAGACGTACACTGCAGCTGCCTCGCTCCTCATCCAGCTCCGCTGTCTGCAGCTCTTCCTTGAGCTCCCAGAGGTGGTGATAGCGCACCAGCATCTCCAGCTCACCTGCCAGCTTTCAAGTCGTAGGATCTCCAGGTTCTTCTGGGTGCCAGTTGAGCGGCGTTCCAAAGCTCTTGATCGAATCTAGGTCACGCCAGGGTGCTTGCGCGAGCTTGCTCGCAACACAGGTTTTCAAGGCAAACATACATTTATGCGCGCGTGGTTCATGCGAATAACTTTCCTTACAACGGTAAATGGTTTCACTACGCCCACGTTTCCCACACAGACCCACACACACACACACACAAACAAACACACACGCAAACACCACCTTTTTCCTTTGGATGCGGCAGGCGAGAGGTAATTCAGCGCTATGAGTACCAAACCAGGTTTCCAGACACGGCTGCGCCCTAACTCGCTTCTGCAGGGAGCCAAACCCAAAAGTCACGAATTTGCGGCGCGCACCGGTTCGTTTTGTAATTTTTACCAGGTAACCAAATTTGCATTGCGGCACGCGCTAGTTCATTGTAAAACCAAATACGAACTAGCGGAGCGCGCTAATTCGTTCTTGCGATAGCATCAAGCAGCACGCACTATGAGCCCCTGCCAAGGGTTTCCAAAAAGAATGCACGAATTCGTTTTTGCATCTTTCAGTCCCAGACAGTTTCGCCAGGCAACTAGCCTCAAAAACACATTGGTGATGCGGGCTAATTCATTTTTAGGGTGTCTGAGCCCCTCCCACTGCCACCAAAAAATCCGAACCGCTTGCGCGACAAACTTGCCGCTAAGTAAAGCTTACGCGGCCTCACGCTGCCACGTGTTTTCCTGATGCGGGGACCCCCTTTCAATGTAAGTTCGGTGTCAGCAAGTGTCAAAAAATTGCTTTACAAGAGGAGCTGCGTTATCAATTATGTATTACTGCAGCTGGCGAACTGAATCACTTTCCAGCCAAACTGCAGGCATGATGCTGTGGCAAGCAACTCTAAAAAGCCGGCTTGCCAACAATGCAGCCAGGACACAAACACCAAAAATCAAACTCAAGTTGATTTGAGCAAAGCTAACAGAAGATCAGGTCACACCATCAAACAAATCCCGTGGTAAGATGATGTTCCGAAAGGATCTTACTGAGCAAATAGCGGATCCATTGAGAACGGCTCAGCAAGCCTGTTTATTACAGTTCCATTGTTTGCCGAATGATAACCATGTCACTGGGCCAACGAGGTGACCCATGATGCTTCAAGGTGCTCAAGTCTTCAAGTGAGCAGGGTACTGGCAAACGTCTCAACTCCCAAAATGCCAAAAGCCTCTCCGCTCGAACGCTGACCTGCAAACGGAATGATGTCATCTATGCTCATCACTAGTCAAAGGAATGGGCTGTCCCCGCAGCTTGCCTGGAAACACCATAACCCGTGGCGCAAGGAGAGCTGGCTAAAGAGGGTGCATCTAAAGCTGTGACAGTTTAGGGGTGGTTGTAGATCTCTGCGGGGTACTTGGAATTGTTGTCCAGCTGCACAGTTTGCTGAGTGGACCTGGGCTGCTTTTGATTCTTGCAAGGAGGTGCGTCATGTTGAAAGGCTTCAATATCATGTTGTGTAATTGATAAGGGCTGCAATCTCATACAAAGCAGTCTCCGTTGTTACACACGGTATCCAGAACCGCCTTCCCAATTTAAGCAATTAGCTTGCCCTCAGTTGGTGGGTTGGGCTTGGCGGTCCCCAAATCGACTTAATACAATAGACAGCAGTTCAAATTACCAAACTGCCAATCCAAACGATCAATCAAGGACTACCTGGAGCAGGTGCAGGGGAAAACCAAAACACAAAAACGATCTGGTCTGTCGATTCTGCGGCGGCCGGCGAAAACTTCCAGCGTGGCAAAGCACTGGCCATGAACAGCCCAGTCAACAAACGGTTTCCTCAGCTGAGGTTGGACAAATGTTGAAGAACCGCCTTTCAAGTGCATTCTCAATGAGGCCCAAACCAACTGGCGGTTGGCGGTACATAGAGTATGAATTGCTCATAGAGTATGAATTGCGCAAAGAACATGTGCAGTATAACACAAAGCAACGCTGTCTGACCCAGTGACTTGTCCTTTGATGATTCGTCCGGGGACCAAGAGGATTCGTGTACACATGAAAAGGCAACATGGCAGTTATGCCTCTACGCTCCGGAAAATCGTCCAGCTTCCCTTTTGAGGTTGACAAGGTACACTTTGTGTTCCCCCCCTTTAAATCCGAGTCAACATGTTGCACATGACGCTTGCATTGAATGATCATGGTGCTTTGCGGCCTCGACCGTCCGACTGCCTTGAATAAGTCCATTCGGCACTAGCTGATCGATGAAAAAAGACGAGGCTATTACGCTTATCTTTGCCCGAACGCCAAACTCCACCCTTGGCCATGTCACACAATTGACAATGCTCTCCCACCAGGGCAATTGCTCATTTCACATCTAGAGTGACAAATAGGATGCAGCCAGGCTATCATGCATAATATCCATATGTCATCCTTAATGTCAATGCACGATTAGTAACCCCTCCCCCAGATAAAAAGGCTTCCCCTTTTGCCTCCCAGATTCCCACCAGTACTAAAGTAGAGGGCCAACAAGGTTTGCCCAACAAAATCCTACACAATCATTTTTGGGGTCTCCCCAATCCCCCTGATTAAAGGTGCTACCCCCTGCGGCCCCCAACAGGACTTTCCTCTTTGCTTAGTGTTTGCTTAGTCTGCGCTTCAACCCACCAATACTAAGCCAATAGTAAATCCCTCAAGTTTTCCCAAAACATGTGCTTTCCTCAAATTTACTGCACTTCTCCTACTAAAGTTTGATCCAAAAAAAATGACAAGGTGTTCAAGCTCACAATGGGGACCCCCCTTGCCTCAGTATTAGAACCCCCTCATTAAAGGGTCCATTTGGGCTCAAAACAGGAACGGGTGTTGCCATTCAAAATCCTACTGCCCAAAAAGGGCCAATCAGGCAAGGACCGAAGAGGTTCTCCAGTTCCTGTTTCCAGTTCAATTGGATGGGATTGGGCCAAAAGCAAAAGGACGAGGAGGACCCCAACAAACTCCAGATCAAAATCAGGGTCCCTCCAAAAAGATCTAAGTTTTGGGGCGTCACCTTGAAGGCGGACGGGGTGGGGGGGGCTCAACAAACCAGGGTCACCATTAGAGGGCTTCGGCACATTGCACATGCCATGCACAACGCCAAAGCCCTGCTGCAGCTTCCCTGCCTAGAAGCCTTCGGTCCTGCCATGGACCGACCGTCCAGCCAACGAAAGAAAGGAGACACTCTCGCACAGGCAAACTCAAGCCATATGTGTCGCACTGAGATCCATGCACATTCGTGTTGGCTTCAAGATGCTTCAATGGACTCCTAGCTCTTTGATAAGCATGTGGCTATGTCTCAAAATCTGGGACCCATTCATTGTGTGTCCCACTTGCATTCTTTCTGGAGGAAACCTGTCAGCCACCAGCCGCGTCCCTGGCCTGATGGAGCCTCGCCAGTCGCCTGCACCATGGTTTCAACGCATCAACCCAACCGTGAGATTAAAGCCGGCAAGAACGTCTGGCTTGGATGTGCGAGGATATATAGGATACAGGCACATTAGCGTGGCTATAAATGCCATACATCCATGTATGTACATGTGAATGGGTACTGGTGCATGCGTGTGCACCGGCGGCTAGTACTGCACCACATTGCCTCTGGCTTGTCTGCAGATCTCTTCCTCCTTAGGTTCCGGCGGCAGCATGCCATATATCACACATACACAACTTGCCTTTACAAAACTATAATTGCTGTTGGAGAGGACAATCCCGCAACCCAATTACCAAGCCGTGATTCAAGTGCGCTTCTCCATGTCGCTTCAGAATGCCGCTCACAAGCAGCGCCAATGTGAGCGTCACTATGCCAGTTTGCATGTCCAGCACGAACATTTGAATGACTGGGGCGAATGCTTCGCCGGTTCTGCAGCGGGAGCTGCCTGAGGGCCGAGCTCACAGCTCGTTTCAGTTGCCAACCGATTCTCCCTGGACTGACACGTCTTGCTGCCTCAGGGGCATTGCTCCCTGATTGCTAACAAAGCTTTGGAAACCGGTAACCAGTGCAAGACAGGACTTTCATTTACGCGAGATATCTACAACACACAGCAGCCTGAAGTGCAGAAACTCAATCAACAATGACAACTACCCCCTTCCCTCCAAAGATCCTGCTTCCTCATTGAGCTAACAGTAGTGAACTTGTTTGTCAGCCCAATAATTGTTTTCATTTCCGACATCAGAGGTGTCTGTTCCTGGAGATCGCAGGATTCACGGGCTCAAGCAAATCCAGCTGAACAATCCCTCCCCAATCCCTCCCAACTTATGCATCACAGACCGCCGACGCATGGTTGCCTGTCCGCTCAGAGGTGTCATCCCAGAAAATGATTGCACAAAATCCAAAGGGTTGTGGTTCCAGTGGGGCACACTTGCATCTCGGCCAATCGGGCCAAACAAAAGATTCCCGCTGACTTTGGTCAGGCGGCTGCAGGTGCTGCTTCCACAGACCTCAGCGGCGCAAAGTGTGACAAGCTGTTGACTTGGCCAACACGATTTTCATTTTTGCCAGCTGCATCAGCTGAACGCAAATCTACATGTTGATTTGATTCTGATACTGTTTGGCCACATCCATCTGCGCAAGCATGCTTTAGATGGGAACGTTGGCTGTTTGTTTTTTGATACAAGGATATCTAACATGGCAAATTGCTTGCAACTCGAATGAAGAACCCTGGGATTGGAAGCAAAGGAGTAGAACAGAACAAGGCCATCTGGAACCAGTATCAAACGTCAGCTACAACACATGCCAATGATGCAACAACGCCTCACGGAATCTTGCCATTGCTCGCGAATGCCACATGCTAAAGTGCTCCAGGTGTATCTGGACTCGTCTTCAAATGCGGTGTGCTGGGACGTTCAGTGGCTGCACGGCGGCTGCCAAGTGACTGACTGAATAAGATGCGGGCGAGTCCCAAAATACGACACCAAAATCGGCAGGCTAAGGCAAACCAAAAAGGGGCCCCTTGTGTTTGGGCGCACGCTTGGTCTGGCGAAAGCGAGGGTGAACATCTCCGCAGCCGTGGGCCTCCCTTCCCTCAAATTGGCTCTGACTTGCCACAAATTATAGGCGAGACCCTTCCCAGACTGCTTTCCTATCCAAACACAACACTTTCAGGTTGGATGAGATGTTGATGCATGTCTTTTATGGATGACAAATCTCGAAATTGTTGAGGCCACTGGACCCCAAAGTATGTCGCTTCGGTGGCGGCAAAATCTGATACCTATGATGGCTTGAGAGCATGAGAGCTGTTGCATGCTGATAATTTGTTTCATAGAAAAGTGGCATGCTTCGCGGTCGAGTGCATACTTAACACCACCATAGTGTAAGCGCGTTCACCAAGAGGGATCCTTCATTTGACATTATTGTTACAGGTTGCACCAACTTCTGATGTGTACTTTCCCAGCGATCACATAGTACGAGTTTAGCAGACATGAGACATTGTTTATTGTGCTTCAAGGGCGAGTCCGGTTCTGTGAACTCCCGCATGATTCACGGGCTCCCGCGCTTGTCGCCGCGAAACGGATAAACCCGCAGGATCTGATTTCCAGCCCTGCGACACTTAAAGGAGCGGATCTGCGGGAAATGAGGAAGAATGGGGAAGAGAGGACTCGGATTTGCAACCTGAAGTGCAACAATGGCTTGCTTGGGACACAATGAACAGTTGTATCAAAATATTGATGTGAAAATGAACTTGGACTTGAACCACATTGTCGAGTCAGATCAAGCAGACCTCAAATGCCGGCACTGGATGTTGTAACACGTTCTCAAATAAACAAAATAACCGTCTCGTGGATGGATGTTCGAACAATGCACACAAACAAACAAGGAAAAACAGAAATGAAGTCGCGTCGCATCCACATGCTCCGATTAGTCAACCCATTCCCTCGCTTCAAGCAACCTTGTCTCCCTGAGCCTCAGTCCCATTTGGCCAAAGCCCTGCCTGAAGACACCCCGCATGCCCAAGGAGCATAGCAGCCTTGCCTGCCTAGCAATGGGTTCGATTGCATGGCGTGGCTCAGGATGAGCACATTTGGACACACATCTGTCTTGCATTGTCTCGCTGAACATCCCTAATACAAAAACAGCGTGACATCTGCCTTAGTAGGGGTTTTGGGTTGTTCCGCGGGAAAAGAAACATATTTCACATGAGCGGCCCGAAACCCCGTTGACTATTGGTTCGACTGGCTGCTGCTTCCACGGAACCTTGCGCTGGTCGTACGCAATTACTGATTCTGCTCACATGGGCCCAGGTTCTCGCATGTTCTCGCACATCACCTACGCACATCTTACGAGGCGCAGGCTTTGAGTCCA